TTAGTACGCGGAGCAATCTGTGGAGCTGGAAGCTGAGAACTGGCGACTTTGCAGTACAACTTTAGTACGCGGATGAGTCATCTCTCGCGGCTGAGTCATCTCTCGCAGCTGCTCTGGTGCCCCTGCAGCTGAGTCATGTCTCCCGACCACCCGGCTCTCTTGAGAGGTTGACACACACACAGAGACCCACGCACTGCCTCAACTTACTCGGAGACACACACACAGACAGAGACTCATACACACACAAACACAGATACACACACACAGAGACCCACACACTGCCTCAACTCACTCGACTTAACACTTGACACTGATCACTTAACAGATAACTCACACTCTGACTTCTTACGTGATGAAAAATGCTTTCGGGCCACTCGTCGTCTAGTGTTTTCTGTGGGGTGCGATATTTTCAGTGGGACGATGGATCGATCGAGCTCGATCAACGGGAGTACGTCGAAAGGATAGCTCCAATCAAAGTGCCCAAGCACAAACGCACTGAACCTTCCTCCCCAGTGACTGAAGGAGAGCGACAGGAAATCAGACAACTGTGTGGTTCTCTACAGTATGCTGCAGTGAATACACGTCCTGATCTAGCTGCCAAGATAGGGGAAGTACAGTCGAGAGTTACTAAGTTACTAGAGCGACTGTCGGGGAAATGTTGGCTTTGAACAGGATTCTTCACGAGGCAAAGACCCATGCTGTTTGTTTACACTTTTACACATTGTTCCGATTCCTGTGAAAGAGCTGACCTTCTGTGCTTTCAGTGATGCTTCATTTGCAACAAATAAAGACACGGCCTCAAGACAAGGAACGATTTTTTTCACAACAAATGGTCGATTGGAAAGCAATCAGGTGGGGATTGTTTGTCCTATGGCATGGAGTTCGAAGAAAATTCCTCGTGTTGTGAGATCTACATTTTCAGCAAAGGCTGTTGCTTTAAGCGCATCACTTGACCGACTGTCCTGGCCCCGGTTGTTTTGGGAATGGTTGAAAGACCCAAGCAGCAACATTATGGAGCCAGAAACAATGTTGCAGATGGCACCCAAATCTTCCATAGTGACAGATTGTAAATCTGTGTTCAATTTAGCAACAAAGACTTCTACCCCGACTTGTGAAGAGTACAGGACATGCTTGGAATGTATTCTGATTCGAGAGCGTCTTAAGGATAATTTTTGATGAGACCGCTGCACTTAAGGCACGCGCTGATAGACGAAACAGGCTAGCTTGGTTGAAAGAGAATACAAAACATGAAGAGGAGTTGAAAAGCTAGAAAATAAGTGGTGTGCGAAATGTGCAGCGATCGCCGGCCCTTCGACGCGACATCTTGGACCACACGGCACCAGTCCGGGGTGGGAGGGCATGAGGAACGGAAAACGGACAGTTGGACAGGGATCCATAGGAGCAGGGGTGGTGTTCAATGGGTTCACCTCGGTAGATTCACAGGTGCCACACCTGCAATGCGCTGGTGCTGATGTAGATCCACATGAAAAGCTCAACCAGCTTCACCCTGCAGTCTGGAGCGCTTCTTAATCTGAGTAAAGCACCCAAGTTTGCCAATGAAGTTCATTAGTTGTTTGCTGCATATGTATCATATTGTATTGTTGTATTACATTTTGTTATATTACAACAATTACATATATTATGTGTACATTTATTTAGACTCTTGGCACGATGTTCATGAAACCACTTCGCTAGTGTTTGAGTCGCCAAGAGACGCGCGATGAATGTCTGGCAACTCCAAGGAGTGAGGCTGTCTGCTATACACAAAACCCATTCCGGGAAGCATATCATTCACACCTGGGAGCAACATGTAGCAAAACCCAAAAAGCAACGTGTTGACATCGAAGTAGCAACGACATCGTCACAAAGCAGATCTGCCAACTCTTTCTGGTCTATTTGTGCACAGCTGTCAACACATGCACAGGACGAAGCTGCTAGAGCTTTGAGTGTTTGTAATATTACCCGACTGCCTTTCAAACCACAAAGTTAGTCTCTAAATAAGCGTCAATAAGTATCCTTATAGCCTTTGACATTATATATCGACATGGAAGATTCATGAGACACTGGCTGCTCGAAATCCTCTCTCTGCATGTACATTATACATACATATATATATATATATAATATATATATAATATTATCCCTCTGGGCCACACGGCCACACGCAAACTCCAAGAAAGTCTGATCTACAAAACTTTACTGTAAATCTTTTTGGTGACTGCAGTAAACAAGTTAATTTTGACCAGTCTCTCGGTTCTACATATAATGTCACCCTCAACCTGATGGAAGGCCCCATCAGCCAGGAAAGCAACACCGCTTGCACAGTGGCTCCCGATACACTGACCCAACGTACTCAACCACGCAATGTGGAGCACCTAGAACAGTGTGTTGCACATAAAGCGGGAATAGCGTGGGGTGCGATGTTAATCAATATGATCAACTGCTTCTTGCAGTCAAGAATTGCCAACCCGAGCTAAGCAAAGCGGACGTCCATGCACCACCTATGCAACGAGTAAAAGGCCCAGGGACACATCAAGTGAAGAAGGAGAATAGGATGGACAGAAGAGAAACCCGAAAGCAGGGAACATAGAAAAATCATGGAAGCAGCAAAAGACCAGGAAACAAGCATATATGATACTGAATGGGAAATGAAAGCACGATAGCAATGCAAACGAAAAGAAAGCATTTCTGTGCAGTTCAAAGGAGGACCTCTCAAACGTTAGACCTCAACAGCCCACTGCCGGACAAAAACCAAACAGCCTGCCCCATAGGGGGCCTGCAAAAGCGCATGCATACTTCACAAGAAACCCTGTTGTGTACTCCAATGAATCAAATCTCCAAGACATGAATACCTTGACAAATAGGACAAAGTGAGTGAAACATCGTGGCTGTGCTGGATACACTGTAGCAGCAGTAGAAACGAAAAACCTAGAAGTGCAACCCCCCTTCCACCAATACCGTCTATCCAATCTGCACCAAACATGCAATAGCCGGATCACCTCCGCAATAGGACGCCATCCACCATTTCTTCTGCGGAGTTTTTTCGAGTAGTTGGGCAGATGCGCGACCCGCCCTGCCTTCACAACAAGTGCTCTCAATCAACGCTTGGTATCTTCTTGTGTGAGCCGTCTGATGACATTGCACGACAGTATTCTTGAGACCAACCTTTACTGCCGAAAAGCAACGAATGCACACATTAGCGAAGACTATGCACTGTCGACTATGACGGGAGGAATCGTACAGTGGTTACACTAGTAGAGGCACTTTTCTAAAGCCGTATATAGATCTAGCTGAGATGTCTTCTCTCGACGTTTCCAAACTGAAAATATCCTCCACCAAGTGCCATCAAGTAGTACTGAACCAAGCCTTGGCTGAGGCTTGACAGAGGCAGGAGCTTGAATGTTGTAAGTATCCTGCAAAAATGGTGTATAGCAACCTGATCCACAAATCAATAAACTCAATGCGGCCCATGTGCAAGCCATGACAACACTTGCAGCAATGGCCATTACCAGCTCCAAGGAGTAAGCCTTTTTGCATGACTGGATGAGAAAAAACTTTGGAAACATAGTGAAACATGTCTTCTCTTTAAAAAAACATATGTCTGTGACTTCACTGACCGAGCTTGCTGAACCACACGGCTACTTGTCCAAAGACCAAGGCTCTGTGGATGGAAATATGAGGCAAACGCAAGCCATCACGCAAATGTGCAATGGAAAGAAACATATTGTTCTCCTCGGATTAGGCGCACTCTCACACCGGCTGTTTCTTCCCCTTGAACTTCAATTGTGCAGGTCCTTTCTCATGGGTCAAACCTTCTATCCTCCTTCTATCCTCAGTTATTCACAAGACATGCTCGGCTCCCTCAACAAGTTCCAAGCGCCAAGCTTCGCCAAACGAACCTCCATGTTGAGGATTACTTGGTGCTTCAACTGCTTTCGAGCCTGCCTGGCCAAATCGACTGTGGTTTGAAGGCCAACAAATCCCAAGTTCCCAAATACTTGCTCAACAGCTCTTCCTATGTAAGTCTCAAGAACAAACAACAAAACCTGGATTGCACTAAGACTTTGCCGTTCGCCTTCTTGACTCGCAAAGCCACCCAAACACTGCCATACTTGCAACTAAGAGAGAAAGTGCAGCGACGACCCACAATACCTTGGTTGGTCATGCCCTCAGCCAAAATGCCTTTCTACAGAGTACACCGGAAACAGCTTCAAACAAATGTCAATCTTCCACAATCACGACAAAACAGAACATGAGAGGAATCTTGTGCATCATCAATGCGCCGGTGAAGAAGGTGAAAATGCTGAAGGCGAAACAACTCACCGAGTCATTATGCACCCTCACCGAACTATTTGCAGTGCATTAGAGACATATGTAACGGTAAATGAATGGCCATCAAGCAATGCTGCTGCAACCTTTTGCGATATTTGCCACAACAACGTAGAACGACAAATTCACAAAAAAATGAAAATACAGCATTGACCACGCGTTTGATTTGAACAAGCGTCAATAATTTTCCAGCCAACCTGCGATTCAAACCAGAATCCAACACATTATCGTTACTGATCTTCGCATGTTGCACACAACAACGATGAAACCCGGCCTTCCTGTGAACCAAATCAAAGGCTGAGAGGCCCCACAAAATATTCAACGGCATGGCGTCAAAAAAGGATTTGCCCTTCCAAATCAAAAAAAAAAATTATATATATACATACCAGATTGTATACATGTCGTAGTGGAGACTGGACACATTGAACGCAGCGAAGCAACAAAGGTACAGCTGCGGACCGACTTGGTACTGCTACCCTTCACGCTTTGAAGTCTGTTTGATTTGACTGCTTTATCCCGCCCAGCCCTTCTCGTTCTTTTTGAAGCCCCAAAGCTTCTGATCGACGGTGTTCGAACTTCAGAGAGAATCGCAGTTGAAGCGGCAAGGTAGCATCCCGTTTCTGGGCTCCTGCTTTCGGAGCCGGCTTGTGTGTTGAAACTCTTCGCTTCGGGAACAAGATGTACTACAGCTGAAGAGGGTATGCGCTTCAACTGGTTTGAAAAGGCCCGCGCACTTCTTCCCTCAGGTTTGCTTCAAACTGGCACCATGAAAAGCTAAGCCGCCGACCCTGGCCCAGCTTACGCCGAGTCGGGCAGCGCCTAAGATACCGAAGGTTGCAAATTGGGCGCTTACTTGCGGCAGTCCTTGCCACGCTATGCACAACGTTGCGTCTTAGGTGAAGCGTATCACTCCAATGCAAGTGGATGCCTCCACCATGCCTTCCGCCTGGCACCCATTCGGCCGCTTGCGTGCGAGCCTTTTTGACCTTTTTCCGTGGGTGGCTTCCGGTTTTCGAGAATGGCAATCTTACACGGCCGCCTTTGCGCCCAGAAGTAGACGGGCTTTCAGGCCATGGCAGATCTTGTTGGCCCCTGCCACACCTTTTCCCTGTCTGGCCGTTTGGCGCCCTTGCCACTCACATTCACACACACTGGGGAATGGTTTAGGATTGTGGAGCGATAGGATGACCTCCTAAATAGGTGGCCTTGAAACTCAGAAACACAGGTCAAATGTGAGTGAACGACACCGTCGATCATGTCGATCACGCAGGATGTTTGAAGCAAACTGACTTGCCAAGAAATCAACAGCAGAGAAGATTGTGGTGTTATCGCTCAGCACATACACCACGGGGCAGGCCCGGCTTCCACCATCACGCATAGCTTGGTTGGCATGCGTTTGCATGATGGTCGCATGCCCCCTACTCTCAAAATTCTCAATTCCGATAGTTCAACATCCGCATGTTAGAGCGGCTTACAGACACACAGGGCCCTCTCTACGGACGGCTCAGACTTCAGATCTGAGAAAAGTTTTAAAGGTCCGGACTACCTGTAATCAGTTTGCAGTACGGCAACACTGTGAAGCCTAGAAAGGGGGGGAACCAGGTGGTTTTGACAGCATAGAATAGGTGGCTAGCGCCCATCACATCAAAGGCACAAACCTCGAACTTCTGGCCCCTGCTCTGAAAATTCTCAAATCCGAAAGTTCAACATCCGCACAGGGCCCTCGCTAAATAGGACTCAGACTTCAGATCTGTGAAAAGTTTTAAGGTCGGGACAACCTGAAATGATGAGTCAATTTGCAGTACGGCAACACTGTGAAACCTGGAAGGAGGGGAGTCCTTGTACCCAACCAGGTGGTTTTGACAGCATAGAATGGGTTCCTTGCGCCCAGCACATCAAAGGCACAAATACACAAACTTCGAACGTCTGAGCAGACCCCAGATCCGAAAGTAACTTAAGGTCCGGACGACCTGATGTCAATTAAGTGCCAGGCGTTCTATGCCAGGACCCTGCTGGCCCCCCAAGGGGTTGCATTTTAACCAAGACTGCCAACGCTCACGACGAAAAAAGCCTGATGGATAAACTTCTGGTTTGCTTCTGCAATGCATGACTGCCGACCTTCGTAGCCTGAAGCCTGATGAAAAGACTTCTGGATTGCTTCTGTGAGGCGCGACTGCCGACCTTCATTACCTAAAGCCTGATGAAAAGACTTCTGGTTCTCTTCCAAACAAAATGCATGACTGTCGACCGTCGCAACCTAAAGCGTGAAGAAAAGATTTCAAGTCAGTAGAAAGCTTGAGAGTCGGACACATAGTTCAAATCCACTAATTCGGATCAACTTCGCAGTGCAACTTGGCACTGTGGCAGCTTCTGCAGCTTTGCAACTGCGCATGATTGCAGCTATTAATCGTCTATCGTGAGACTGTGTCTTTTGCATGATAGCAGCTAGTCAACACCGCTGTGGTGTGCAGGAATCAGGCACCTCTTCAGGCACGCAGCCCATCCAAGTGAAGTCCACTGACTTCCACGGGAAGGCCCGTACCAGGCCCGTACTAGCAATAGAGTCCCCGTGGGGCCTCGACGGTGTCGCCAGATCTGGCGTGCGCCCTCTACACACTGGGGAATGGTTTAAGATTGTGGAGCGATAGGATGATGGCAAAGCCCAGAACCTCCAGTGTTTTGAAGCAAACTGACTTGCCAAGAAATCAACAGCCAAGAAGATTGCGGTGTTATCACTCAGCAGGTACACCAGGCGGATCAGACCCGGCATCCACCATCACGCATAGCTTGGTTGGCATGCGTTTGCGTGATGGCCGCGTGCCCCCTGCTCTCAAAGTTCTCAATTCTGATAGTTCAACATCCGCATGTTAGAGCGGCTTACACACACACACATCTCGACTTCAGATTCGCGCGCGCACACACACCTTTCATTTGCCTTTCAAATCACACTTCCATCATCAAAACTCACTCTCGCACACATGACCTGCCACGCGCGCATGACCTGCCACGCTACACGCAAGCGCACTCTTTTTTCTGAGATGTGGGACTGGCTTGTCATCAATTACACGCCTGATACGACGTTGACTTGTGTGTGAAGGGTGGGGGAAAGGGGGTCAGCGCCACACATGGCCGCTTCACCGTGGCTCTTGCAAGCTGCCTTCTTTTTGTCGTGGTTCTTCATTTGGTTCAAACATTGTGGTAGTAGTAGTGGTAGTGGTAGTGGTAGTGGTAGTGGTAGTAGTAGTAGTAGTAGTGGTAGTGGTAGTAGTAGTAGTAGTAGTCGTAGTAGTAGTAGTAGTAGTCGTCGTAGTATTAGTATTAGTATTAGTATTAGTATTAGTATTAGTAGTAGTAGTAGTAGTAGTGGTGGTAGTGGTAGTAGTAGTAGTAGTAGTTGTTGTAGTAGTAGTAGTAGTATTAGTGGTAGTAGTAGTGGTTGTAGTAGTAGTAGTAGTAGTAGTAGTAGTAGTAGTAGTGGTCGTAGAAGTAGAAGTAGAAGTAGAAGTAGAAGTCGAAGTAGAAGTAGTAGTAACGTAGTGGTAGTGGTAGTGGTGGTAGTGGTGGTGGTCGTGGTAGTGGAGTAGTAGTAGTAGTAGTCGTCGTAGTAGTAGTAGTCAAAGGAAGTTTAGTTTGCAAAACTTCCGTGTTACGGACATTCAACAGCTGTTCAACCACCACTCATCATACACCACTCATCAGATTTCGTGGCAGGTGCAGCAATTTGTGAACCTCCATGTGCAGATTTCGTGGCAGGTGAAATACAAAATGCGTTTTCGAGAGATAGCGGACGCACGAAATGCTGTATTTTTCAATAGAACCGGTGGCTTCGAACCTGGCAAGTCTAGCTCTGCGGAACGACTGTTGCGAGACGGTCTCGGGTCATGGTCGGTCGGCCGTCCATTGTGATTAGGTTTTCACTTGTCTCTTGAAGTGCAGATTTCGTGGCAGGGCGCAGCGCTTTGTGAACCTCCATGTGCAGATTTCGTGGCAGGCGCAGCATTTTGTGAACCTCCATGTGCAGATGTTGTGGCAGGTGCAGCACTTTGTGAACCTCCAGGTGCAGATTTCGTGGCAGGCACAGCACTTTGTGAACCTCCAGGTGCAGATGTCATGTCAGCCACAGCACTCTGTGAACCTCCAGGTGCAGATTTCATGTCAGGCACAGCACTTTGTGAACCTCCATGTGCAGATTTCGTGGCAGGCACAGTACTTTGTGAACCTCCATGTGCAGATTTCGTGGCAGGTGCAGCACTTTGTGAACCTCCAGGTGCAGATTTCGTGGCAGGCACAGCGCTTTGTGAACCTCCATGTGCAGATTTCGTGGCAGGCACAGCACTTTGTGAGCCTCCATGTGCAGATTTTGTGGCAGGTGCAGCGCTTTGTGAACCTCCATGTATAGAGTTCGTGGCAGGCGCAGCACTTTGTGAACGCAGGTGCAGATTTCGTGGCAGGCACAGCACTTTGTGAACCTCCAGGTGCAGATTTCATGTCAGGCACAGCGCTCTGTGAACCTCCAGGTGCAGATTTCGTGGACAGGCACAGTACTTTGTGAACCTCCAGGTACAGATTTCGTAGCAGGCACAGCACTTTGTGAACCTCCATGTGCAGATTTCGTGGCAGGTGCAGCGCTTTGTGAACCTCCATGTGCAGATTTCGTGGCAGGTGCAGCACTTTGCGAACCTCCATGTGCAGATTTCGTGGCAGGCACAGCACTTTGTGAACCTCCATGTGCAGATTTCGTGGCAGGCGCAGCATCTGGAGCTGGAAGCGGCTCTTGTAGTACAACTTTAGTACGCGGAGCAATTTGTGAGCTGGAAGCTGAGAACTGGCGACATTGTAGTACAACTTTAGTACGTGGAGCAATTTGTGAGCTGGAAGCTGAGAACTGGCAACTTTCTAGTAGTACGCGGAGCAATCTGTAGAGCTGGAAGCTGAGAACTGGCGACTTTGTAGTGCAACTTTAGTACGCGGAGTATCTGGCGAGCTGGACGATGAGAACTGG